AAGTTGGGCTTTGACATTTTAAAATTTATTGGGAAACAATTATACATGTAACACATTGTCAATTTATTTTATTTATTTATTAAGCTATTGCATATTATCGAATTAAATTACGGGTTTTGAGTTTACATTAAATTGTAATTAGATGAAACAAAATGGATTCTATGTATTTTGAGGTGATCTTTTCGTAAAAGGCAAAACAAAATGTAGCAATTTTTCGAAATTGCCGAAATTTTGGATTTTGTCAATTTTTCAATTTTGCGCAGGCGCATGTCGGAAATAAATCAATATTTTTAAAACGCAGTTTACGACATTTGAAAGCTTAGGAAAAATGCTAATTTTTAAGTCTCTTGAGAAATTTTGATCCGATGCACCGTTCTCGCGGTATGGACGATTGAAATTTGTTTAGTATTTTGAGGCGACGAAGGTCGAAAAATTGAATTTGTTAAATGTTCAAACACTAAATTCTTTATAACATTGGTAAAAATTAAGATATTTGAAAAAACAAAAATGCGTTTTGAACTTAAGGGGTGTGACTAGTGATTCCCAGAAGGGGGCAAGAGAAATCCCAAAATTGGGCATATGGCGGAAGGGCAAAATGCACCGAGTTCCTAATTTCATTGTTTGCCTATAACGGCCAAACTATTTGAATTTTTTAATGCCACTTACAAAGCTTACTCTTAAATGTGAAATCTTATGTGTGTGTGAATTTCACCGACATCGGACCATAATTAGCTAAGATATCAAACAATTAAATAATTTAAAAAAAAAAAAAATTGTTTTCGAAAGTTTGAAGTGGCACAAAAATGCCAAAAATGCACCCAATGGCTCAAAACTTTTTTTTTGAGTACTCTATTGTGTCTAGAATACGATTACATTATGGAAAATTCTGCAAATATATTTTATTTATTTTTTTGACCACTATTCATTGAGTGACGACCAAAAAACACGGTTTTTGAGAAAAGTTGCCTAAAATTGACAATTTTTAGTTTTTTTGTCTGAAAATTAAACAAACCCAAATTTCATGTCTTCTAAATGTGTATACAAAGTTTAAAGTGTGTATGTTTCTTCTAAGTTGTAGAATTCTCCCGACAAAAGTCCCATTACACGCACTCCGCGGGATCCTAAACTCGTGTATACACTACATTACTGTAATTTGATTTTTTTGCGATTTCCAGTTTTAAATTTCTTACATATCTAAATTTATTAGGCTTAAAATTTATTAAATTGTATTTTACTGACTTGTTATAAAACGTTTCTTGAGTTTTGTGCAAAATATAGAATTACCAGATATTAGCGAATAAAAAGCAAGCTTATCACCAAGTTGGAACTTACACTCAGGCTTAGGATTAATTTCCTAACATTTTTAAAGTATACCTTTTTGTGTATTTTTTTGTGCTCTTCGATGGCGAAATTAGTTTTTTCAAATATATTTATTTTGTTAGATGTTTTCGGAAAACCCGGAAAAAATCACATGGGAAAAAAATTTAAAAAAAACTACGCCTCTGGTTTCCTGCGAATTCCCGAAAAATTATGTCAGATTTCGCCGCGGGACTTATTTTATTTGAGAGCCAACAAAAAATACGCAACTTCTCTCATGGGTACATATGTCTAACATTTATAATTTCGCCACAAATTCATCGCAAATTTCATGTCCATGGTTCTGATCGAAAAAACGAAAAAACGACTTTTTGGTAAAAGCACTTCTGGCGGCGAGAAATTCGCCATTAAAACTACCTGTGCAATGAATTTCCGAACTATTTTTGCCTCCTCTTTCGAATGGTGCATTTATTTTCACTATCGGAATGATACTTGCCCAGATAATTAGCATTTTTACAATGGAAAATTCCGGAAAACCCGGTTTTTCCTAATTTAAAAAAAATTGAAAAACTGCTACATCTTTTTTTTCGGAAAGATCACATCAAAATACACAAGGTCCTTTTTGTTTCATCCAATTACAAATTAATGTAAGCTCGAAGGGGCCTTTTTTCGTTATTTAATTGGACTAATAGCTTTTATCGCGGGCTTTGAGCGCGGCGACCGAATCAAGAAAAAAAAACGAAACCGTAATGAAAAAAAAACTAACACCCCCCCCACTCCGACCGGGACAGCGGTGCGGCGTTTAACAATATTAACTTCTCATTTATTCAATAAAAGAAAATCGAAAAATCAAAAAATCTAAAAATCTAGAAATCGAAAAAGAAATTCCGTAACGAAAATAAACCTAACACCCCCCTAACGCCGACCGGCAAAGCGGTGCGGCGTTGAAAGCCGTGCATCGTCTAACGTCGTTTCAGTTCGGCAGACTTCGGCACGGTGTTTGTGTACGTGCGGCTAGACGTATGCGTGTAGACTAGCTGCTAACTGCTCATAACTGATTACTGTGATTACTGTTGGGTGGTGTAACAAATAAATAAATAAATAACTGATTCTATCTCTTTTAGATACAATTTCGGAAAAATTGAATTTGAAAATGAATAATGATCCACAAGAATCCACAACAAAATATGGGACCACCATTGACGCGGTATTTTCCAGATATTTAGAGGATATCAAGTCTCAAACTTATGTTTTTTATTTCAGTTACCATAAACCTATAGTTTCAATGATAAAAATTCCTAAATAACCTACATGTATTGTAAGATATTAAAAATATTTCAAACAATATTAACTTTTTATTTATTCAATAAAAGAAAAAACTTGAATTAATATCAAAGAAAAAAAAATACTGCATAAATAAAATAAATAAATAATTATAATTGCATAAGTTGATAAAAAATGCTATGCAATAGCTTTACCGCGGCAGTCCCCGATCCCCGAGTGCCACAAGTATTTTTTTTTTTATTTATTTAAGAAGAAGAATAAACATTTTATAATACAAAATCAAATAAATTTACAATAAGAAATTATTCTTAAAATATGCACCTAGATCCAAAAACATCTGTATGTGCAATAGAAGATTAAAACTACATAAAATTAACAATACCTACCTATAAACTAAACATTTGATGATTAAAAGGACATAAATATATAAGACTAGGTATTTATAACAAATTTAAGAGGTATAAATATTTATCTAATATAAATTTTATGATCGCTTTAGAAAAGGTTTTTATGTTTTTTATTTGTCTGATATTTTCACTTAAAGAGTTGTATATTTTTGGCCCAATTGAAAAAATGAATCTTTTATTTGCATCATATTTAAAGAATGGTACATTTAGCATTCTTCTCTTTTGTTTTCGGGTCATATAAGAGTGTTTTACAAAATTTTTATTTTTCAGTTTGAAATAGAACATACAGCTAGAGTGAAAGTATAGTGATCTTACATTTGGAGTGGATTCGTTGTATAAGAGGGTTGTTGAAAACAAACGACTTTTATGATTTATTACATAAGGATTCAATGAGAGCAATATATATCAAGTGTAATAACTTTTTATTTAGAATGTTACGAATTAAATAAAATTTATACATAAGTTTTCTTATTTTGTTTAAGTACTGAACATGATCAGTCCATTTAAGATTTTTGTCAACTATTATTCCCAAATATTTGGCATTTTCCACTTCTTTGATAATGAATTTGGATTCTTCAATACAAATCTGTTTGAAGTTAGGCATGTTAGCATCTGTGAGTGAGAATGCCATAGATATTGTTTTTGATATATTTAAAGATAGTTTATTATAGTCCAACCAGTCTTTCATAATTCTTACTCCTTTAACCACTTTCACTTCAAACATTAATACAGTGTCATCTGTATAGGATATTGCTATACCATTTATATCTAAGTTTAAAACAGAGTTGATATATATGATAAGACTGTTTTTTATATTAGATATCAATTCATACATGGCATCACAAGTGCTAACACCTTTTTGGAACCCAAACTGTTTAACATTTAAAATCTTTTTATCTATTAGATATTCATATAATCTTTTATTTAAACAATTTTCAAAAATTTTTGCAAAATTTGTAATCAGACTTATTGGTCTGTAATTTGACACATCTTTTTTGGATCCGGTTTTAAAAACTGGATTTACAATTGATATTTTAAGTTCTTTTGGGATCTTACCTGTTGTAAAGATATTAGGTTTATAATGTGCATTAGAGGCTCTATTATGTATTGGTGGCCATTCTAGATGTAGTTCCATCAATCCCAGGAGCACTGTTATTTTTTAATGAATTTATATGTTCTATTAATTCATTTTTATTGACAGGATTTAATGCCATTGAGTTGATTAGAGGTGGATATCTTATTAGGAAGTCATCATATCTATACCAATTTTTGAAAAATAGTTATGGCAGTAGTTGGCCATTTCTTTGTCATTTGTAAATTGTTTATGATTGTTTAGAATATTAAAATCATTGTTTGTTTTATTGTTTCAGTATTCATTTGAAGCTTCTTTAACTATTTTGAATATTTGTTTAATATCATTGTTAATATTTTGAATTGTATAATAATCATTTTTAGCTTTATTTATTATTTCATTTAGTTGGTTAGGATATATCCTATTTCTTTTTAGTTCATAAGAATAATGACTGTTACAAGATTAAATCCTTATGATAATAAAGCTATAGAAACAGGCACTTTGCCATCATTTGTGATCCCTGATTATCATGGTCATTGACCTATTTTCTATACTATTATGAATGTTTTGATGTTACCCACATTTTTATACCAAAACTCAAATCAAATACATTTACTTTCTGCAAATCTCCTTAATAACCCAACAAAATGGATAATGGTAATTCAGTAGAAATTCTATCCATAACACCATTTATTACAATGCAACACTATTATATAATACAGCATGCCGGACTATAATTACTCAAGTTATTCATTCATTATAATATAGGTATGATTCTTGCATTTGACTAAAATCTTAGGTATATCATTGCCCTTACTAATATAATTTATAGCATAAGAGTAAGTTCCTGTTCTTAGCATATAAATTAATCAGTATTTTATAAATTATGATGAATTTCGCATAAATAAATAAAAACTTACGTGTAAAAGTGTTTTCTTCCATTTCTTTACCATGACTATGAAAGATAATCGCCAACTGGAGGATCAGCTGTGGAGCAGCTTCCAAAAAACATTCCAATACTCTTAACAATGCCACATCTGAATCTTCTTTAACCATTAATTCATAGTATTTCCTTTGATTCTCGATATCTTTATTTTTCTCAGCCTTTTTTGACTTTAAGGCATATTTTAAGGCATCAAAATATCGTAAAATTGGAGCCAATTGAAACAATAACACTACTATTATACACATTCCCTTTTTGGTAAATTTTTTGGTAAGATTCGTTCCCCTGTTAACATTTTCGCGATCCAGAACATACATACGTACACTAAATATTGTATTTATTATGGCTGGTATGATGATGAAAGACAAAGTAGCAAAAAAGTATGCTAAATCGTTATAAGCATAGTATCTATAGGCTACGTTACAGTCGAAAAGTATATCAAGTAAATGACTGATGATGGAGAAAATAAATCCTGCTACATCCCAATTTGTGGCTCTATCCTTGGATGGTATCCTATCAATCTCATCTCGATCTGAATTGCACATCTTAGTCTGATACAAGATAGTCATTATACTGTGTATACTACTTCTTCTAACTTCTTTGTTTCATTACACCAACCTTGTAATGTTTTTAGATAATACTTTTAATATCATTTGTAAATCTTATTGTAAACAAAGGAACTACAAAACGTTGACATGAACATTTAAGTACTGTGATTAATTAAATCTCCATTCTTCTACAAAACGGTACATTTGAGTGAATCATCGCGATTTCTTGTTTCACACTTCTGAGAAAATAAAAAATAAACCAAGAGCCACTTATGGCAAATAAATTAATTGTCAAATTGATTAAAAATCAATCATATGTCATGTCGACATAATCAACCAAAAGAGTAGGGAACAGTGTTGCCAGAGCACTCTGAAGAAATGTAATAAAAAATAGAACTCTCAAAATTGTAATAGATTTTCAAGAAAAAGTAAGAAAAGAAAAGAAAAGGATACTCTGATTAAACTTCACATTAGTAATCTATGGATTAAACCAATAGAAATTCGGTATTCAATAATAAAATAAACCTGTAATAGAAATATAGAAATAATAATCAAACGAATAGAAAAAGACGAATAAGGACCGATTCCACAGTTGTGTTAAACCATGGCCGTCTGTATGGTTAAACGAAGTTTAATATGACATGTTTACATTAACAATGTCATTTTAATCTCCGTTTAACATAACGGTGGAATCGGCCCTAAGGGGTCTATTCTGTAACAATTTCTTTATATTTAACGGCCTTTAAAAATATTTTCTTCTTTACTTCTGTCATTATTTAAAAGGATCTCTAAAATGCATTAGAGGACTATCTTAAAGAAATCTGTTTAAATAATGACAGAAGTAAATTAATGAATACGATGAACATATTTTTATAGGCCGCCAATATTTTTAAAAGTAGGCACACATACATAGTGAAATTTCTATCGACATCCCATTTATTTATTCTCACTTAGGTAACCGTTGTTTTCCATAGTTAAAAATGAAACAATGAGTCCATACAATGAAATATATAAAGTGGATAGGCAGACTGCAAAATCATAATTTTTTATAAACCTAAATTTCTGAATATTCTTTACTTTCTCAGCGATTTGGCAATGCTTTGTAGCTTCGGATATTTTCGTGCGAATCCGGAGCTCGTATAAGTAAAAGAAGAGAAAGGTCAGAACACAGAACTGAAAAACGATTTGAATAGAGAGAGACATTACATAAGAATCGCATTCTGTGGAACGAAGATAGACGTCTCAACACGTGCCGTATTAAAAGATGAGAATCCCAGTGCCGTACCAGTTCCATGCCAGACTAGAGTTCGGTTTTTATTTTTTAGTTGTTTGAACTGTCAATTATGCATGTTGAACTGTCATTCTTGTAACAGCGATCAACAAAATCGAACACAAACAGTACGAATCAGAGTTAGAGGAACTTGAATTACCGAATTTGCTTCCATATGTCATTTGACATGTGGTGAAATATATGTGAGGTTACGTTTATTTTTAATTTTGTTTTGGTGGATGAAAAATAGAATAAAAATCAAGAATTAATTATATTGGCGTTAACAATGGGCAAATCAAAAACGACAAACATTGTAAAAATGGAAGATCTTTTAAAAGAAACTTCAGAAACGAAAATGGAAGAAAATGAACAGGTTTTATTAAAGTAAGAGACGTATATTTAAGATATTTTATTAGATAAAGGCATTGTGACCATACAAACAGCATTTCGCTGTATTGTACAGCATTTTCAAATTGATCTTGTACAGCAAATGTACTACAAAATTACATTATTATCCACCAAACTTTAAACATTTAAAAAAATTCTAAAATTTCAAAAATATTGTCCCTTGCAATATGGCAAGCAGTTCTAGAGAGTTTCAAATAATATAAAGGATAATATTGTCTAGTTTAAGCTATTTTCGCTAAACTAAACATTACGTACTTGTAGGTATCACTGTTTTAAACAAAGAATCTTATTTCCATATCTTGTGCAAATTAATAATAAGTACACAATTATTTTTTTATTTTTATTTAAAAAATTATATATTAGATATAGAACGTATGTATAACTCAAATTCAATCTAATTTTCTCAATAGATTTGCTAATATTCTATTAAAATATGTTTATTTCAAATTACATGCACAATTCAGCATTAAAAAAGTAAAAAGTAGTTAATTTTACCAACTCTGTCAAATTTTATTTATTTAAACATTGTTAAATCAGTTACAGCTTTGTTGTATCCAAGTTACAACCTTATTCTATGATGTTGTATCAGTCAAACTCAACTTTTTAATGCTCTCTAAAATTCCAAAATATGCCTATCTCAAAATTAACCTTTGCCTTGCAATTATGTTTTAATTGCCCAATTTTTAAGTATGGAGTGTCAAATAATTTCTCTACAGTTTTTTATTTAAACAAATATATATTTTTCTTGTCTGAAAAATCACTAAAAATGAATTACAATCTTGTTTGATGGTGATGTTGAAATCACTTTTTCTTATTTGGAAATTGCACTTTTCTCTGAAATATATGATTAAAGTAAGTATATTTCCCCAACAAACCTACTATCTACTGCCCAAATAAAATTAATACTGAACTAAAACTGTTTACACTACACTATGAAGACTAGAGATAAGGAGACGAATCAGAATACTCAAAATATGGTCCCAAAAAATGCATAATTGAACTTCTATAATTAACTGCATGGGCGCTGGTACTGAATATGGTGTTCAAAATGCATGGCTTCTTATGGGAATTATACATAAATTTGTCAAAATAATAAAAATAAACTTTTAGCACTTTTTACTGAAACTAAATTGTTCGACATGAGACAACTGTACTGTCAAAACATTCTAATTAACGTTTTTAAAAATAAAATAAAAATTACTCTTTCCCCACATGACTACTGCACCAGAGGAAAAAATGCGTATCTTACAACCTCTCATAAAACCATTGGGCAGCATTGTCCCAGTTACTTTGCACAAAGATTATACAATTTATTGCCAACTGATATAAAAAATATCAACAATCTAAGGTGTTATAAAATGAGCATAAAGAGCTGGTTCATAAAGCAAAATAGAGATATTTTCAATAATTTGATTAGTCTTAATTATTTACAATAACAATAATCTTTATAAAATATATTTTGTCTTAATTTTTGTTTTAATTTTATAGATACTTCTAAAAAAAATCAAATTTAATTATTTAAGTATTGCTATTTTTACTCTTGTCTTGTTTTTACTCTTATTTAATTACTTACATTATTTATTCTGTGTAGTTTTTAATTATTTTTATAAGTACATAAATTTATAGTTATTTTAGAGAAGAAATCAATTATTTAAAACATTATTATTTTACGGCACACATTTTATAGATCTCCTGCACACAGGCATGTTAAATGCCTTAGCGGGATATCCATGTTTATTCTTAATCATTCATATGTAATATTGTGATAAAATTTTATATGTATATGTACTATTAGCAATAAACATTATGTTATTATTATAAAGCACAGAACATACTGTTGTATTTATTTCTAAATAAGTCTTGCATGTTTTAATTGATAAATTATTTAATTTTATCTATATAAAATACAAATTAGGTATATATGTCCAAATTCGAAAAGGTTTCTTAAATGCTGAAATTTTGTGGCAAACTTTTTTTTTGAATTTAACCAATATATAGTTTTAAGAGTAAAATAAAACATAGTTAACCGATTTTTTATTGTTATAATACAAGTATAAAGGGAGATTTGGGAATGTACATGGTATTACCACATCCTCTAATTTCAGCTTTCCCCTTTTTATTTTGCTAACAGTAGCATCAGTAAAAATAGTCTCATAATATTTGATATCTTCTAAAAACACTATAGAACAGCATCATCTCTAGAAAGTGCTTCATCGGCACTCTAGGAACGATATATATGCTGCCACTGTTCTAAACGTTTAGTATCCTATAAAAAACATTTACAATGATACAATTGGGGTCAAAAAAAAAATAACAGCAACTCTTTATCTAACATTAAAACTATATAAAAAATAAATTTAATGCATAGTTATTGTTGTTTGTAAGTCAGCATCTATAATTAAAATTTTATATTATAAAAACTTAATAAAACAAATTACACTTCGTAAGAAACATATTGTGACTAGTTTACAATAAATATTATATTTAGACATGAATACATTATTTTACTTACATTAGAAGCTTTAAAAAGACATTGAATTGATTTCTTCTTGTGTTTTCTTTAGTTTTACATTTGATTTTTATCCTGTTTTACAATCTGGAACGACGTAAACCTTACTTTGATATTTTTTGTCACTCATGTTACTTGTACTCAGGTACTTTTTTTCAACATTATTTTGATTCTTTGCACCAATTTTTTAAAAAATCACTTCATTTTACATTGACTTACATAGAAAATTGACTTCGCTGTCATTAGACATGCCAACTACAGGCAATTTTGCGAACTTTATAAAAAAAAAAGAACGGAAATTTGAAATTTGTCCATTGCCAATTCGCCTCCTTCTCTCTAGTCTTCATACACTACACATTTGTCAAATACCTCTGCAAATACTTACCATTTTCAGTGTCCTCTTACTAAAGCTTTTTACAGTGATGAGTGATTGTGTTTATTGTAATTAGTTTTTCATGTGTTTATACTCTAATAAAAACTGTATATATTTATAGAAAATCATCAAAAGATAATCCATCTTTGGTTCCAAGAGGAAAACCAAAATCTGGTAAAATTTGGAAATCTGAGAGAAAAAAATTCAGCTCTATAATAAAAACCAAAGGCATTCGCAACTCTTTAGAACGAAAACAAGCTTTGAGGGAAAAGCTAAAAAATATAAAAGAAATGTCAAACAGTATAAAAGCTGCCAAGAAGGAAGAAAGCGAATTGAAAAAACAAAGGAGAAGAGACAATTTAAAAAAACAAGAAGAAAATCGACTTAAATCTGAGGTGGTTCAAGTTATTACGAATACTAAGAAATTGAAGAAGATAAAAAAGAAACATTTGAGGAGCATCGAGAAAAGGGATACGACGGTTGTTTCAAAATAAATAAATATTTTTTTAAGCTTTGTTAATAATAATAATAAATATTATAGTAAAATAGTTTATTTTTTATTTCTTAAAATTTATTAAATTTTCACATTCTAAATACTCCAAATTTAGTATCTGGAATCTGTTTATTTAAACTAGCAGCCAAACTTAAAGCCAATATCTTTCTGGTATCCTTAGGATCGATTACACCATCATCCCATATTCTAAAAAATTAAAATTATTTCACAAAGACTAATATAAATCATCTTAAATTAATTTTACCTTGCACTACTATAATATGGTGATGCTTCTTTATCAAATTTCTCAATAATGGGTTTTTCAAATTCATTTTTCTGTTTCTCTGTCCATTCCTTTCCATGACTAGCAATTTGTGATAATACTCCAGCAGCCTGTGGTCCACCCATTACGCTTATTTTCGCGTTGGGCCACATATAAAGGAACCTTGGAGAATATGCTCTTCCTAAAAAATAATTAAATCAAAGAGAAAAAACTTTATTAATAATATGGATTGATCCACAAAAAAAAAATTCTAAAGTAGACCTCAAGCATATCGGAACGTACAATTATTTTTAAGTGTCAGTTTGGATTTAATTCAGAGCTGTGCGTTGTTATCATGATTCATTCCACATCGTCGATGGTTAACCGCTTGTTCGTCCAGTGGTCATTCATCCAAGACATGACCGGAGACATTACTGCTTAACTGCCACGAGAATTCACAATAGACTCGCGGCTAGGTCAGTTATTGCTAAAGTGATTCCTAAGTCTTTTTGTTTTGTTACTGATATTATTTCTGTTTGTTCAAAAAAATTATTGAATTTGGGATTATATTGATCGATATGTAAAATAGTGCATTTGGAATCATTCAAATGCATTTTGATGTTGTTAAAGTCAATTTTTAATTCAGCATGCTGTAGCAGAGGATTTGCATATGAGTTTCCATCATCAGCAAATGAGGCGTTGTTGGTATGGAGCCCTTAGTACGAACAGCAGTAGTCCTAGGACTGATCCCTGTGTACTTTGTGCTTTTTTGAAAGTGAGGAATTCACACATATCAGCAGGGCCAACTAGAGGGGGGTAGCAGGGACTAATTCCCGGGGCCCGGTAGCGCTGTAAGGGGGGCCCGATAACAGAATTTTCTGTTCTGCATGAGAAATTCGACACAAGATGAGAGTAGGAAGTTCGGCTGACTTTTGAGGTAGGGAGAATAGCTTTTTGATGGGAGAACTTTTTTTTTTAGAAGTAATTGAAGTAGGGAGAATCGTTTTTTTGTTCTATAGGGCCTGATCTAGAGAATTGTCCTGGGGCTCGGCCTGGCTCTCACCCAGCAAACATTTTCTATAACATTAGTTATAACTCGACTTTGTTAAAGACGAATTTACTTATTGAGGTAATTATTACGTAAAATTGACTAGAAAAATATACCTCTAATGTAAATTTACCAAACGGTTTTAATTTATATTTAAATTTACGTAAATTATACCAAGAAATCTACCTTTTACACAAATCTGCTTAAAAGTAACTTTAACCATATCAACAAGGGAAAAACTACTAAAAAAAATAACCATCAATTACTTCAAAGTGCCATATTTAGGTAATATCTACCTGTTTGGCAACTAAAAATCGTCTTTATAGTAGAATATCCAACTAGGAAGATTTGGTTAAAAATTCTACGTAATTTTATGCCTCCATAGTAACCTATTTGGCCGCTTTTATTTACTCTCCTTTAAAGTAATATTCGTAGCAAAATTCTACCTGTTTATCTACCTAATTTCAACCAAATAGTCGAATACTCATTTAGTTGACCTATAAGTCATCTTGAAGAAATATTTATTAACTTTGTTGTAGCAATTACCTGAAAAATCTAACACAAAGTAAATTCTACTAAAAACCACCAATTTAAAAAGAGTCATACATGACCTATTTGTAAAATTTATATTATTTAGGTAATTTTAACAATTAGGTTGTTCAGTTACTGTCTTCGTCATTATTCTTAAGAATTTCGGCCATTAAAAAAAAAAACATTACAGTCGTAATCTTAATTTACGTGTGGTGTAGATAGAGCTTTAAATGAGTGCGAAAAATAATTAATAAAATGAGTTCGAAAAATAATAAATCATATAGTTATACTTCCGATTTTTATCGTAAAGTGAAACGTCTAAAATCTCAAGTGCAGAACAACGTGACCTAAATATGTTATATTTACCTATAGGTAAATTTTTTATAAAACCTATAAGTTATTATTTCTTTAAATAGGTAAAGTTAACTAATATGTCGTGAAATTGAAGGTAATTCAACTTAGTAAAAAGGTATTTGTAAAATACGTGGATTTCCTTAGTCATAATAACTTTTAGGTCCAATTCGCACAATACGCCATATTTTCTTAACGTAATTGAAGTACGATTCCAAATTTTAAATTTTTAAAATGACCATAACTAGAACATACGAATAAAAATACCGAAAAACGAAACATTATTGATTTTCTAAAGTGATACACAACAAACGTAACATAGTTTTAGATCATATTATTATTATTTTTTTACACGATCATATTTTTTTCTTATATTTTTTTAATTAGAGAGTATTTTGGAAGGGCATTGTTATTTTTCTAAGTAGAACTGTTAACATGCACGACAAAATTTTCTTCGCATTAATTTCAACAAGCGTGAACTGTATATTCACCGCAATTACATTACATATATTTTTGTCAACGACATTTATTTATTTTCAATCGTTCATGTGAATTAGGTATATGTTTTAGTTGTGTTGGTGATTTCTTACAATATTTCTACTTATATATAGATAAAAATACCAAATAAGTATAAAATTTCTTTTCGAAACATATGGGGGCATACGTCATCTGCAAATATTTTGGTAGTTTCTACCTAAACTTAGTTAAATCAACGTCGAATTAACGTTATACTGACGTCAAATTTCCCTAGAGAGGTATTACTAACCAAACGTACTGGGCTACTACAATGTGGATTTAGATGTAATTCTACCTATTTTGGTAAATAAAACCAAATTTCGACGTCGTCTTATTCTCCACTTATGTCGAATCCACGTCGAGCCAACGTAAATTTTACTTAATTATGGTTAAATCTAATTTTGCGACCAAATTTATTATATATAATTTAGGTAATATCGACGTCAAATTACACCAAAATGTTTGCTGGGCAGCGGCCCTCCAAGAACTTCAGTTGTTGGGCCCTAACTCGAAAATGTTCTAATTTATAAAGCAAAAATTCTGTTGGTACTTTGTCGAACGCCCTTTTAAAATCAAGGTGAATAACACCAATCTGTTCATTGTTGTCATCAGCTAGGGTCACTCTTTTAGTCTAGTTAGGAGGTTTGTCAATGTTGATTTACCTGGGAGAAAGCCATGTTGCGTAGGTAAAACATTAGGCATTTCTTTATAAGCTTACTACAACATACTTGGTTACAGTATTGTGGTTACTGTGGTGACATTACGCATACCATGGTTTCCCTATTATTGAATGTCATATGTCAAATTTAATTTAAGTTTGGGGATTTCTAAACGAAATTTGTATTTTAGAAATTTTATGATGTTTTGACTTTGTTATTTTTTATTATAGTATGTTCTAGTAAGCTTATAAATAAAGGCATTTCTTTATAAGCTTACCACGACATACTTCGTAACAGCGTTGTGGTTACTCTGATGACGTCAGACATACCGTGGTAACTCGTAGCACTTGTCGTTGTCACATGTCAACTTGGGGATTTGTTTACTTTGTTTTTGTTCAGATAAATAAAAGTGTTTTTGTCACAGACGTCATTTGGTTTTCGTTCTTTTGTTATTTATTTAAATATGTCTCCTCCAACAAAAGGAAGTAAAAAAATTAATAAGTGTTATTTGTGATGAAATAACAATGATAAATACTTGTGCCAGTAGTCTCATATTTTAATCTTTATATTTCAATATAAATAACAGTATCCAGTGGTCATCAACATCGCTCTCGTGAAGAGTTATTTCAGTGCCCTGTATTTCAAATGTAATTTCTTTCATAGTAAATAGAGTTTTCTTTGGTAAATACAAAAATGCCCAACCCAAATATACAAAATGAACCATATAAACCGTAATCACAGAAAAATGTATCTAATTTAATATCTTTACAATACTTTGCGCATGCTGATATGTTTAAATGTGGACCTTACCACACACCTTACCACTAAAAACATCATGGTTAGTAGTAGTTACGTATTTTGGTAACGTATGACGTCATGGAAGTAACCAAACCGTTTAAAGAATTGCTTTGGTTACATAAGTATGTTCTAGTAAGTTATGGTAAGCTTATAAAGAAATGCCTATTGTCTCTCAGAAATTCTGTGAATTCTTTGGCTATTATTTTTTCCATGCGTTTACATAGAGAAGTTGGTCCGTATTTGAGAAATTTGAAGAAGAAGAAGAAAAAATCTATTGGGAATAATCCCAAATGTTTCGAGTAGGATATGTGGAAAATGCATATGTATAGATTGTACAAAATTACTGGAAAAGCATGTAATAACCAGACAGGAAAGTTATGTGTTGGATATATCAGATTTTTAGGCTATCCAAAATTATTATTGTTGTGCCTTTATCACACAGAGTGTACAAACATCTTTTGCATTATTGTGCTAAAGTTCAAGCAATGGTTAATAAAAATTACTAATATTTGTTTACCGCACATTCCGTAATTGCCAGCTCCATAAGAACCACCTATAATAACTGTAAATTTCGGTACTTGCGCACAAGCTACTGCCGTTACCAATTTGGCACCGTGTTTGGCTATGCCGCCCATTTCAGCCTGTCGACCAACCATGAATCCTAAAAGTATAAAAATAGAATAGATTATTTTTTCTACGACTCGTTAACGAAAATCTATGTGAATGTAGAAAAAATATACTCAGTCGTCTAAAAAACTAATTAACCACTTACCAGTAATATTTTGTAAAAATATAATCGGCACTTTTCTCTGCGTACAAAGTTGCACAAAATGAGCTCCTTTCATCGAACTTTCAGAAAACAAAACGCCATTGTTTCCTATAATACCCACACTTTTCCCATACAATTTTGAAAACCCACAAACCAGAGTTTCGCCGTATTTTTTCTTAAACTCGTAAAATTTGGACCCATCGAACAGTCGAGCTATAACCTCTCTAACATCGAAAGGTTTCTTCAAATCGGTATCTATAACTCCATAGAGATCTTCGGGATTATACAAGGGTTCTTCGAATGGTTCATCGAAAGTTACTGGTGGTTTATTGGTTAAATTTTGAACTATTTTTCTTGCAATTGAAATGGCATGTTCGTCATTTAGAGCGTAATGGTCCGTAACTCCAGAAGTTGTGCAATGAAGATCAGCGCCTCCAAGGTCTTCAGCGGTCACCTAAGCGAAAGTATTATTAAAAATAAATAGAAGTTTTGCTTGTAAGAGAGGTAGGTACGTACTAACATATTTTGCTTTTAACATTCTTTGGTTACCTCTTCTCCTGTAGCTGCTTTTACCAATGGTGGCCCTGCCAAAAATACGGTACCTTGCTCTTTGACTATCACTGATTCATCCGCCATAGCTGGTACATATGCTCCACCTGCTGTACAAGAGCCCATGACAACAGCTATCTGAAAAACCAAGTCACTTATAACGTTTTGCTTTCCTGTGTATGATTTCCATCTGAGTTAAGCTCTTTAATGAAACTCTTTTACGTTTTAGTACCTTTACGATGCAAATAGGACATTCCGTTTTGGTATTAAGAAAAACAAAATGTAGACAAATGCAAAGAGATTGAAAAAACTGCTAATATTGCAGATAGGACCTTTATTGTTAGGACGGCAGTATTGTAGCATACAAAATTGAAACTTTTATTGTCACATTACCAAATAGTATCTATCCTAGATTTATAAAAATAGTATGTACCTGTGCAATTCCCTTGGAAGACATATTGGCTTGATTAAAAAATATCCTGCCAAAATGATCTCTGTCTGCGAATATCTCTCCTTGGTTAGGTAGATTAGCACCTCCACTGTCTACCAGATATATACAAGGAATATTGTTCTGTTCGGCGATTTCTTGAGCTCTGAGGTGCTTTTTAACAGTCATGGGATAATAAGTACCACCCTTAACCGTTGCATCATTTGCTACAATCATACATTCTCTCCTTAAACAAAAAATATTTATATCCATTAATATCTATATTTTGTGAAGAGTGTTCTAGATTAAGTGCAATTCACAGAGTATTGAATATTTTTGAGGCTACCCCCACTCCGCCCCATTCTACTTACATTTACACCACTCTACCTTCACTTCACTCTACCCCCCACTTTATCCCACTCTACTCCACTTTACCCCCACTCTACTCCACTTTATTCCCACTCTAGTCCACTTTACCCCATTATACACCGCTTTACACCACGCCACACCATTTTACCCCAACTCTGTCCCTCTCTACCTCACTCTATCTTCACTCTATCCCAATTTACACCAACTCTACCCCCACTCTACTTTATTCTACACACACTACACCACTTTACCAAACTCTATCCCACTCTACCACAAGAATAAATAATAACCAGAAGGATATCTCTGATCACGTGATCTTCGAGGGCTCGTGACCCTCAAGCACACCTACACCGAAACTTTCAGTGCAGTAGCAACCGGCACGGGCGGTGGTATCGAAAGCGTGAATTTATAATTATTATTATTCTGTTGTTTTTGTTATTTTGCTTAAATATTTTTATTGTTGACTATTTTTTGATTTTGTTGTGCTTTAATGTGTGAGTTATGGAAGAAGACAAAAAAGTTAGATTTGTAGTTATAAAGACTGCAAAAATAAATCTTATATCGGTGCAAATTCATTTTACAGATTTCCTCAAGATGTTGAAAGGTAATATAAATAAATTATAATATATAAGTCAAATACAGGGTGTTTTAAATTAGCTGTTACTTCGGGATATTTTCTGTATCTTTAATCTGAGGAAGGGTGGGTTGCCCCGCAGTTCTTATAGGGTATATCTTAATAATAGTATATTATGCAACGATCATTTATTAATAGCCATTACATAAGAGTTGCATACCCTATTTTTTCTACCACCAAGAACCAGTTCTTCAATCGAAAATAGATTAATTTAAAAAATTATAATTCTTTTAATCCCTCAAAACCTTAGATAATCTAATTTGTTATGACTACTTGTTAAGACAACTAAATAATAAATCTTTTTTACTTCCCAAAAGTGTTTCGAAATTCATTCGTAGCTCATACACATCCCCATACATCAAATTTGCCAGAAATTGATAGCAGTTATCAAAAAGAGTCCACGTTAGAAACGAATTTCGAAAGGTATTTTGCGGGTTACCTAATGAAAAAATGCATATCTGTACATTCTTGTACAATTTGCGAGGAATATTCAAAAGTCTATCAAAATTTGGACGATACATCTTTATTTTGTTACTAAAGCTTATAACAGCTCAATTTAGATTTATTTAGTAACTTAAACATGCCACACAATGATTTTGTAAAATGTATCTCCTTTTTAGAGGCAATATTTCAAATAAATTTTGATACTATTATTATACACAAAATTGTAATAGATACGTTTCAAAGTATTTGTAGAAATACAAGTTTATCACATCCATGTGAAAAATTTCCAAATAATAATTTAATAAAATTATTCGGTAGAGAAAGATTATTTTATACTTTTATAAATGTATAAACCGAAATTTTAAAACTATAAAAGACAAAAAGGTTGTCATTTGGAAAGATAAGTAAATATTTTTTTATAAATATAAATCTTTTACTTACCTATATTTGTAATATATGAACTTAAAAATAAATCAATAGCTACCCAATATTTTTTTTTATTTTCCTGACCTTTTTTTTGATGCGCCTATGGAATACAAGTAATAACTAAAATACGAGGTCATAGCTCGTCCGCATAAACTATTAAGGAATTAAATGAGAGATATATCCTTCTGGTTATTATATATTCTTGTGACCACACACTACACCACCTTACCCCCACTTTACCAAACTCTATCCCACTATATCATCACTACTTTACTCTACCCCTACTCTACGCCGCCTTACATCCACCCTATACCCCGTCCCCCACTTTAACCCACTCTACCTTACTCTACCCCACTCATATTCAATATATATGAGGGGAAGAAGATTTTTCAATAGCACTTGTATATCTAAATCAAAACCAGAGGTCAAAATTGTAATTGTATAGCAGGGGCAGAAGTTGGAAATGCTTTTGGTAGGTAGAGAGGGGGTAAACGTCAAACCACGTCGGACGACTTCGAGAATTTTGCAGTAATGTTTATCTGCCAGTGTCGGTTCGTAGAATAAGTAATTTTAAATTGTTACCGGCGGAACCGGTCAATCGCATGTATTTATGGATCATAAATAATTTTTAAACAATTATTATAATATACAAATCATAATTCTACAAAATTTCAACAGCTATTCACAATTTATTAAACTATTCACTCGAAATTATTATTAATATATAAAATAATTTTGTACGCCAATGTATCGCGTCCACTTCGGTTAGATCCACCGCAAACCTGTCAATTTATGTGTATGAAGTGGGAGAACTGGCAATAAACCCTTTCCAATTTCTGTCCCTGCTATAGTAAAATTACAAACCGGTAAACACATTACCAATTCTGTAGATACCTACCTACTTAAGTAATTTTATTTGTTGAAAATGATTAATATTATTGATCTTACATTATGGATCTTACCCACTAATTTTTCCTATTCCAGTAATGACACCAGCCGATTGAATATTTGCTTCGTACATATTATTCGCGGCCAATGTTGATAATTCCAAAAATGCACTATTTTTATCCAAAAGTAACTTGATTCTGTCTCTAACAAATAACTTTCCTTTTGAAACATGTTTCTTTACTGTTTTTTCTCCTCCTCCTTTTAAAATACCCGCCGTTTTGTTCCTTAGCGTTTCCACTAAGTGCGTCATCTTTTCTTTATTTTCCTAAAAACAAAAGATTGACAATCTGTCTCTTTTTCTAAAAAAATATTTTAGGCATATTACCAAAAATTGTGAAGAATGAATGTCAACATCTGTTTTTATAACGTTTGCTGAATATTTACGAATATTTTTTACTAATATAAAACGATTTAAAATGTGTTTATTATTGGAAAACATTATTTTTTTGTTTAACTCTACTAAATCTAACTAAAAACGTAACTAACTAGGTACAAAACTAAATGTTTTGTAGAAATTGTTACGAGTATTGGGCAAAAGCATTAAAATAACAACTCGTTCTGATAATGATAATTTAATATCTTATCATAGGCGTGTGTCAAAACCGGACAAAAAGAAACAGTCGTGTTAATTAGGAGAGAACGAAGATCGGAACAAATTTATATATTCTACAGAAAATATCGTCGCTTGTAGTATCAAAAAGTGTAGATAAAAAACTATTATTCACATTTTAAAGATTATATAAACACGGTAATATGCAGAGGAATGCCTAAAATAAATCTACTTGTACGCCTGTGTAGGTACCTAATCAAGTATGTTTCAAAATTGTATGTTTAATATGACATTTGACATTAAAATGGCAAATGTAAAAATTACAAAATTGTTAACTAGAACTTTAATTCCGAATTTGTATAAAGTCCCGATTAGACAAGCATATTTGCAGAAACCACTAGAAGGTGGAGATGCCAAAAATGTAAATTGATTATTTAAATATTTACAACTTTGTTAAGTTAGTAATAAAAAGCCTTTTTTTAGGCTGTTCCTTGCGGCAAGTATATTGGAAATCCGAATAAGATGACGTTAGTTTTCTGTCTGTTTTTTGGAACTGCTTTTTGGCTTCCACAAATAGCTTTCATTTATATAATGCACAGATAAGGTATGTAAAAAATGGTAAATATTTCAAAACTTGTCTTTATTCATAATCTGATCTGTCCCTGATATGAAGGCAACCAATATTACGTTGATTAACTACGTTGCCAACTTTTCTGGTTGATAAAGGTTTTATTAAATTAATAAATTTTGAAAGCACAAGGTACAAATCGTACAAAATACATTTTAACTTATCCCACAATCTTATAGTTATGTGTTTAATTATATCAAAATCATTTTAAAAGTCTCTAAACATAATTATAGTTTTAAAAAAAAGTCACAACGGCAACGCTGTGCTAGTTCTTTTATGGGAAACGAGGCGAGGAGCCATTTGCAAATTATTGTCTCTCTGTCACTGATTGAGGTTAAGTAATCGATTTTCAATTTTGAGCTTACATTTTTAGCTAAAATAAAAATGATTGGAAAAAGTAATCTGTTTGTAAGAAATTTAGTGAGAAATGCAGTTGTAAGAGCTGCTCACGATCACGGTGGTGTACCTGGAGTGGTAAGTTTTTGATATTGTTACATAACTAGGGTGTCGGGTGTTTAGTCCTATCTTATTTTATTTAAATAACTAGTCTAAATAACTAACAAGCAGATAGTTTAAGGACTACACCGTGTAAGTTGCTATTTTTGATTTTCTTGTAGAATTCGTGTGTATAATAAAGTATTAAGTAAACCATAAAATCTTTGTTCATGTTGTCTAAATCAAGGGTTATCACAATTAAAAACTACAGCCCGATAATTGATTTCTTACCAACTATGGAAAATTGTTAGATACAAATATCTCTCTATTCACTTTGGATTCAATTAATATGCTCTGAACTTGTTTAACTGATAGAACCTTAAACATCAAAAGCAAGACTTATGAAACTAAGCTTAGCAATAACTCAAGCCCTATCTATTTATTTCTGGTTTCAATAACTGTAGTTGACATTATATTTGACCAATATTATACAAATACTGGTGTAGTAACATGTATGCTTGAAGCATGTATATATTTTCAGCCACTGAACGTTCTCCAATACATTTTGCAAAAGTGCATGTGAAAATTACAGAGAGTTAGCATTAGGTCGAACAGGAAACGAATAATATCAGTATTGCCAGCTTATATGGCCCGACTACATTGTTTATAATCAATATTTTATATAATTACTTCATCACAGAAGAATTCATCTAAGTTATAAAATGCTTTATCACACAGAAATGGTTTCAGTTTTAATTTTAGTGGTCTGATTTGACATAAAGTTACATAATTGCAAGTTTTGCAATATTTACATATTTGTACAACTTTTTTTGAGAATTTAGTCAATGGTATTTTAGTCCTAAAATTGTTTAAATTTCTTTTTTGTTTTAGAATTTACCTTTTGGAATTAACAACAGATACAGGTTGACTGCTTTGATGATTTTATTCTGTGGATCAGGATTTGGAGCTCCCTTCCTTATTTTGAGACACCAACTTACCAAAGCTTAAATTGATATGTGAGTTATTTACATTATTACAATTAAAAAAAATTAATAACAGTATTTTTGCAGGTGTTAGTAATAATATAGTGAAGTTATATTAAATGATTTTTTTGTAAATAAGTATAATAAAAAGGATAAAATTTTATTTATTTTTTTTTTACCTTGGACACAATTGTTTAAAGTAAGTTACATAAGTTATTGAGTATACAGACACACACATATATAGACATTACTGTCGAAATAGAATAGATTTAGGGGGACCCCAAAACAGAAAAATCCCTCAAAAACTGGAGGTTGAAAAATATCATCAATATAAAGTAAAAAAAAATCAGGATAGTAAAAATGGAAGCTTTAATTAAAATGGCAGTAAAGAAAAACAATAATTCGATATTTTCATAAAAGTATGTAAAAAAATTGGTAAGTTGTTTTACAAGTTATCTTTTGTATTTAATAAAATCAAAATTTGTTAATGTTTATTGAATTTCTAACTTTAGACAATCATGTGTTTTTTTTTTCAATTGGATTTCTAATCCACAGAGTTTGCAACCCTATATGTGAAGGTAAGTATTAATCTGTAGGTGCTTAAAAGAAGAATTCGTGGTTCAACTTTATGTTTCACAAATTTATGGCTGAAAAAAATAAGCTATATAAAACTTTTAAAAGAACTCTACAAGGTTCTGATTATATTTTGTATTCCAATAAGCGATGCAAAGTTAAATACTACACTGATTGGAATTACTTGACATTCATTACTGATACAGAACATCTTTTTCCTCACAATATAAGCATTTCTGGACATTTATAAGGAATCTAAAATGTAATAATGTTCTTCAACATCTTATGGTATACACATAGATATATATCCAAGACAGGATTATTTACAAAATTTTTGAAGAATGAACGGTGGTGTCCACATAGAAACTCAATAATCGGATTGAACATTGATGCCAAGTTTACGTGCTTTTAACTATAGATATATATAACCAATACAGATTACACAATTTCTGAAGTCAACGCGGATGATCCTCGACAGAAATGCAATATTTGGATAAAATTAAAATATTGATGCCAAGTTTGTGATGTTTTTAACTGTAGTAATGTTATTGCGTTTGCTTGAATTACTGTTAGGTCTTTAAATTGTCCAAAAAAAAAAATAATGTCTGACAACAGCGGAAGTAGAGTAGACCGCAATTGTGGAGGGTCGTATATTGTTTCATTCATAAAAATTCCTTCGATACAGTACTAGTCCAGGAGCCAGTGAATTTTTTCGTACTTGTTTTCCTGGTCCGTGTATATTTAAATAATCTATTCCCGGTGAACTGTATATTTAAAATGGAACGCCAATCTATTAACAAAAGTAAGCCAGATTGAATTCGCGCATTACGTCACATCGATACAAGTGAGATCGTTTACAAAGTGCCTTTGCAGGCCTATTTTGCCCATTTCATGTATTTGTTTTTAAATCATGTTAAATTACTATTTTTGAAACTCAACAAGGAGAAAATCCAATTAACTCTTCCGTTGTGTATATATAAGATAAATTAACTGAAGTTTTATTAGTAAAGTATTAATACTAAAATTTTAATGTAATTTACAGAAAATAGCTAGGTATGTATTTGTTTTTAAATAATTTGATAATTTATGAAAAAAGGGAGTAAAAGTGGAATGACCAGTGGCCAGTAGGTCAGTCAATACAAAGTATCATATATTTCTATTATAACATAACTAAAATACCTACATCTTTTAATCATAAGGACATAAGTTAAAAACCATTTTAATATATGCATTAGAATGAAGTAATAATAACTTAAAGAGACGAGGTCTTAAAGTAATAGCTGGTACAGCATGTTTTTTAAACGTTTCCTCATTGCTGCTAGAATGCAATCACTTACTATGAAATGTGCTCTAAAAACGGCATTTATAGCAGTCAGTGTTCAGTCTTAGGATCTCTTCCTAAAGCCCTCATCCAAGCTGCATACATATTAAAAAATTATTTAAAAAAAAAACATACCTATATAGTTTTCGGTTCTGGGTGCCCTAAAAGAGGATACTTAGCCGACAATTTGGCTCAGATAGCTAAAACCCAAAAGTCACACCCCGAACCAGGACGTTTGCTATCCTTTTAAGTAAAAAATAACTACAAATAACTTACCTGAAAAATGAAGGCGTCTAACTTTACATCAAAAAAACCATACACTTTTTCCCATTGTTGCAAGCACCCGATGACGATTAGGTAGATATCAACTAGAAGCATGTACTTAATGGTTATAAAGCTTATTTTAACACAAAAAGAATAAAGCACTAGTCGAAAAGCAGCAATCAAATATAAATAGACCACAATATTAAAATTCAAATTAAAAACTATATAAAAGACAAATACTCTAAAAGCGCAAAAGATCAGAACCAAATAAAATGAATAACCATAATAACCTAAAAATCACACAAATTGCAAAAACTATTACTGTAAAATCATGAGATTACATCAATAATGCATATGCGTCGGAGTATCGCAAATGTCAAAAGTACAGTGTTTCCATGAAAATTTAGCTATGTTTTTAGCAGTATTATAGGACCATTTCTACCACGCGCATCCAACGATATTGGCGTTCCACAGTTCACTGTATTTTCCTCACACCTCTAGTATAAATGATTTGACATAACGAAACTAACAATAATTATAATTAATGTAATAAGTGATTCGTGAATTCTAAATAAAACAATTATTATATAAAAGTGTAAAAGAAAATGTAATTTATTTCCCTATTTTCTTCTGTAATATCTTCAATTATTATGTTTAATTTCTATAAATAAACCAACTGGTTAGGTGATAACAAGATCAGAACCAAATAAAATGAATAACCATAATAACCTAAAAATCACACTAAAATTGCAAAAACTATTATTGTAAAATCATGAGATTACGTCAATAATGCATATGCGTCTGAGTAACGCAGTGTTTCCATGAAAATTTAGCTATATTTTTGGCAGTATTATAGGACCATTTCTACCACGCGCATCCAACGATATTGGCGTTCCACAATTCACTGTATTTTCCTCACACCTCTAGTATAAATGATTTGACATAACGAAACTAACAATAATTATAATTAATGTTATATATTAATGTAGTAATAAGTGATTCGTGAATTCTAAATAAAACAATTATTTTATAAAAGTGTAAAAGGAAATGTAATTTATTTCCCTATTTTCTTCTTTAATATCTTCAATTATTATGTTTAATTTCTATAAATAAACCAACTGGTTAGGTGAAACATTGTGATATAAGATTTTATTTATGTGTCCTATGCGTACACTTTAATATACAAAACACCTGGAACATTCTTTAAATAATTGTGGTCGTAGAAATAATTGTGTACATAACTCGTTTGAAGGTGTATTTTATGCACTTGCCAAATATATTGTCCATACAGATTAATCAGACTATTTTTTTACTTAACTTCAGTACATCTCTTACTACTAAAACTATTTTTATCGATGGAAAAAAAGGGCCGTGTTCTCGTATGTTTTGATGCATTTTCGGCCTCAGCCCATCGGATCCCCCCTCTAAATATATATGAATTTTGCTTAGAATTGCTAATCCTACAATTCTCTATTCGTGCTTGCTGACTGGGAAAATAAATACCGAAAATCGTCACTGTCTCCTGGACTATACAATAGATGATGATGAGAACTTCACAACAAATACACTTTTATGAATGGCTAGTTGGGATGTGGGTATACAGCACCGTTGAGTTTACTAATCCTAAGGAAATAGCTAATGCTTTTGCACATCACTTTCCAATCTTGTAATACTGCCGATGTCACAAATTCCCAAAGACATTAAAATTTCCGTACATAGCAAATTCCGTACTTCCCACTCCAGTAATTTTTGCCTCAACTTTAAATAGGTACCAACAAAAACTCCCAGGCCAGGTATTTTGATAAGAAATAATTTTAATTTTGTAATAACAGTTCGTAGAGCACTAAGACATTAATCATTGGATTTTAAGAAAATGCTAAAGCAGGTCGATTTTTATTCCAAATTGAATACATTTTTACAATACAGACATGTGTCAACCTCCTCCCTTGCACTTCTCCATCACCTTACTTTTAAGTAGGTAATGTACCATATATGGCACATCATTGAAATGGTAATAATTTAATGATTTAGAAATGTCTGTACATTGCGCTACTTAAATTTTTCCGCCCTCTAGCGGGATAAAAACTATTACGTATTATAAAGTGTGACTCTACCATGTGTAGTAGGTACATCATTAAAAATGTAATTTTATGGGGAATTCGGAAATATGATTTTATTGCGATAATTTTAAATGTACCGCCCTCTATCGGGATAAAAAATTGTACGTATTATAAAGTGTGATACCTTATTTGAAAGCAAATTTAATTACTTATTCAATGCACTACATAACATTAATATAAATATGTAATAAACTCGGCCGAGGGTTGATAATAAAATCCCACATATTAAATATCCACTCAGGATTCTGTATCTGTAATGTGTGGAGGGTGGGTTACCCCCAGTGTTGCCGAATCGAAAATGTAAAATTTCCCATCAGTTAATCCCAAAATTCCCCCTTTATCCACCCACGGTTTTAAAAATTACCCACTTTTTCCACCCACACTAAAAAAATGTTTTTTATATAACTATAATCCGGAAAAGCATTCTAGTTAACATGAAATGAAAATGAAAAAATTCAACATATCAGTTGATCTAATGGCTAAATAAACTCAAAGCTGAAGACCAAAGAAAAATTATCTGAAAAATAAAGGCAAAGAAAATTTCAGAGTCCGTGTGACAGCAAAGCTTTCCACCAGAAAACTACTCATTAAAAATTAATCAATAAAACAATTTCAATCATCAAATACTATCAAATAACAACACCACAAAAACATGTCATTAATAATGTCTAAACCAGAGATATCTCCCTTATCTCTGGTCTAAACATAAACCAATGTCATGTGTCAAAACATAAAATATGACATAAT